TATTACTATTATAAAAAATGATGATGATGATTATTATTATTATAACGATTATCATTATTACTATTATTATTATTATCATTATTATAATTATAAACATTATTATTATTACCATTACCATTATCATCATTAATCATTTTACTTACTTCATCTTACCAAACCTCAAAGCGGCTCGACAGCACATTGGGTCCGACTGCAAGAACCACTGACAGTGGCTCGCAGGAGATAAAAAGAGTTTTAAAAAACCCAAATCACAGTTCACGTTAATTCGTTAAAATTCCACTCACCACCTCGTAGATGTTCCTGTCAGTGATCTCGTTGGCAAAGCCGAAGCCCGACATCTTGCAGATTCCTCCCTTGGCCACGAGGATCTTGCAGGACCGAAGCCGGTAGTAGATCAGCTGGGAGAGACGATCGAGAGAAGGGATTATAAGTAATCATTGTTAATCCAGTGGGAGAGGGGGATACCAAGAGAAGGGATTATAAGATAAGCTGTAATAGTAAATAGAGGATTATAGAGAGAAGTGGTTATAAGATAAGCTTTAATAATAAATAGAGGATTATGAGGATTATAGAGAGAAGGGATTACAAGTTATCGTTGTTATAAGGGGAGGAGGTTATCAAGAGAAGGTATAATAAGATAAGCTATAATAGTAGGTGGTTGGCGGGTGCTCTGGTGTGGTTTGCTTCTTCTTTCTTATAAAACATCTATCGTCTTTATCTCCCCTTTTTATTTTTTGTGTTTGTTATTCTCTTGTAACGCCTCTAATCTTTGGCACTTGTATGACCTAATTGTGTTGCAAGAGCCATACAACACTTCATAAAACTAAACTAAGCTATAATAGTAAATGAACTGGGAGAGGATTATGGAGAGAAGGGATTATGAGATAAGCTATAATAGTAATTAGAGGATTATGGAGAGAAGGGATTATGAGATAAGCTATAATAGTAAATAGAGGATTATGGAGAGAAGGTATTATGAGATAAGCTATAATAGTAAATAAAGGATTATGGAGAGAAGGGATTATAAGTTATCGTTGTTAATCAGGTGGGGGAGGGGGATATCGAGAGAAGGTATTATAAGATAAGCTGTAATTGTAAAAGAATTGGGAGAGGATTATGGAGAGAAAGGGTTATAAATTATCACTGTTAATTAGGTGGGGGAGGAGGATATCAAGAAACTATCGCAAAGGGAAGGGATTATACGATAAATTACTACAGTAAAATGAACTGGGACGGTATTGTAAAGGGAGCTTTATTCTTTATTAGGTCATTTAACACTTTGCTGACCATCTCGCCGATTGGCGATATTTACCACCAAGTTTCTTTAATGGCAAGAGGTTTTACTATATTATACGAGCCTTGTGATGGCAAAGTGTTAAGAGGTAAATCGGCAATATTGAGGGTTTTTTAAAAATATCGACCTTTATAGACATAGAGAGGTGGTCACAGTAAAAAAAAAATGTGTCATGATGCGGTGGAATCAGGCGCTAGTCAATTTTTAGGCATGTGGAGTTATTGATATCATCTTAAAGCTTGTTCATTCGTGTAACTTTTGATTTAAAATTTACCCATGTATCTTAAATAGAAGTCAAGATATTTGTGATTGAAGGAGGTGGGGGTCACCTGGTTTCAGAGGTAAAATTAGCGAGAAAATGTCCGCCAAAGATTGGTGTCTTCCATAGCTTGAGAGACCTTGAAAACTGAAAATCTACATTTTTTGCGCCTTTAATCAACGGTTTTCAGAAAAAATCAACACAGAAATGTGGTTTTAAATGGACGTGAAAGGTGTTGAGCCAAAAAAAGAAATTGGGAAAAATTTTTTTTTAAAACAGCCAGAAAAATACAGTTTTCTTTGATTTCAATATTTTGACGAGCGCCTGATTTCACCACGACGCCTCACAAATTAAATGTTTCAAACGTAGCGTTTCACACTGACCTTGAACTTCTCCAGGTGATCCAAACCACTTGCGACCTGGGCTGCCAAGGCCAGTAACTTCTGTGCAGTCAACATCTGCTTCCTCATGCTCACGCTGGCCTTGTCTCCCCTGCCGATCATAACCTGTCACAGACGGAAAAGGAAAATGTTTTTTTAGTAAGATTTTTGCAGCACTTGCAACACAATAAGGTCATATAAGTGCCGGAGATTAGAGTTTTTGTTTTAGTAAGAGTTTTACATTTGGGG